TAATTAATTCTTAATTAACTGCAGCACAAACTGAATGAAGGGAATGGTTCCCAGTATTTACAGCTGTATTTTAAACATGGTGCATGAATACTGATGTTTTAAGCATGCACCAAATAATATCTAAAATGGGATGCCTCCTCTGAACTAAAACATCGGTTTAAAACCCTCAGCTAAAGATAAATAGGCAGTTGATTGAAAAGTGCTACAGCACTGCCAGCCTACATCTCTCAAAATCTACAAACGCATGTAAAACATGGGAGAGACTGCAATTCCTTAGGAACTCACTGGGGCTAGGTTTAGGGACAAGCAACTTTGGCGATTGTCTGGGGCAACTCGGGGTTGCCTGTCCATGCACTGGCCACTAAACTGTTTAAATAAATAACACAAACAATTCATATAGCACAAATATGTATAGGTTTATAGATCCCAACATGCAGATTTATCATCTTAGGAAACAAGGATGAATCATGGCTGTGGGTCATGCATCCAAAGTCGTGAAATGGGCAACAGATGCAATAAAAATTAAAGTGTTTCATAAATACAATAAGAACATTAACGTATTAAAAACACAGCGATTGTCAGAATCACTGGCCGAGGAAATTATTTCTACCTGCAGGGGGGAAATGTAAAAATCAAAGCATGAATACAATCTTCGTTTGCCATCTCTCTCTTCCCAGTTCTCCAAGTCTGATGGTCTTAACTGAGATGGGACTTACACGTTCGGCCATTGATCACGGCAGGTGCCACTGTCTGACGGGGGTAGATCGGGTAGAGTGTGATCATATAGTCAGTGTTGGGACGAAGGTTGCTGAGCAAGGCTGAAGTAGCACTGGGCCCAAGACTGATCTCCTCGGGCTGAGTTTCACCTTTGATTGGAAATGAACAAGGAGAACTTCAGGGACACAAATAACAGAAGTGTGAAGGCACACAGCATTACCAGAGATCCCACACATAAATGACATCATTGGTTATGTGAGCTGCTTCTTATTTCAAAACACTTCTGGCAAGCAAGTCCTCACTGGTTCTTTTATTTTTGAAATTTTAAGCTAATGGCCCGCATGTAGTCAAGAACATGACCAAGTCTAATGACTGAAAGGTGAGGAGATTCACAGCTCTAAGTCAAAGCACCCACGCTGACCTGAGGGGCACATACATACTGAAGCCACCGCAGGGTGCAAGAACTTCTCCTTCTTTCAGAATATTCCTCCATCTTCAATACATAATAGAATATGCATCCCAGTTTCATTATGTAACCCCAACTTTTAATTTGGTGGCCATGTCAGCTTCTATGTGATATTATGGAGGTTAAGGCTATACATGGTTATGTTTCACCTCCACATACCCATGTGAATCACAAGTAGGGAGAATGCTGCAGCACTAGATGGGTTCCTGGCCTGATCCAGCATGGCTCCTCCTATGCGCATATAATCTTCCTTCCATTTCCTGGAGGAATCTATAGCCTATTTGAGAATCCAATCAATCCACATGTGGGCAACCAAGGAGGCACACTGGAGGGCTGTGCAGGTTCAGAGATGGTCTTTGCCTATGGTAAATATGCCCTAGTCTTACAGGTTCATGGTGGAGGGTCAAACTGCCCCCTCCAAGTCTCACCTAGGCAGCACTTCCTGAGCAACAGATGGTATGCACGCGAGAGAGAAAATGTCTGTGTGCATGGCTGATGGCAGCAGGTAGAGGTGGTCCATCTAGTTAGGGTCCATCCCTGCCCCACCATGAATTCTTGCATGCCCCCACTTGTTTATGTAGGCATCTCTCAAATTAGCAGCAGATACACACATCTCTGAGTTTCTGGATCACTGCAGCCAACTGCAGGAGTCTAAACCACTGGGCAGGGACCTGAGCACAGGGGCTGAAAATGGGTGCCGGGGTGACCTCTCCAACAATGATAGACAAAGGACTTGGGGGGGGTGGACATGGGTAGACATGGTTTGGTTCCACTGTGGCTGACACTGCAGCCATTTGGCTCCTGCATGCAGAGCCAAACAGCATCCAAGCGGTGGCTGCTTTTGCTGAGCTCAGCAGCATGTTGGTGCCCACAGGGCCAGCATTCTCTGCATTGCCATGGCAACAGGTGTGGCCACCCAGTGGGTGAGGCTCTGGGAGATCTGCCAGGGCTCTGAGCACTGGGATGGCTGCAGGCTGGGGAGGAGCAGCTCCAGGTGCAGCTTCCAACAGGTACAAAACACAGGAAATGGTAGAGGGAATCTTCCAAACAGCCTCCACTCCCCCAAGCCTGGACTCTCTCTCGTAGCACAACCTAAACTGTGGCAACAACGCGCATGTATTGCGACACTCAGGCACACGAGGAGATGCTCAGGCAGCACGTTCACAGCTGCACGGAGGGACTCCACGCACTGGCACAAGCTGTTCCTCCACCCCACGCTGTCTCAAGGCTTTGTTTTCAAACTGTGCTATTACACAGAGCGTAAGCCTCATCAACAAGAGCTCCTGCCACAAGAGCGGGGCTGAGCTGTGCTTCTGAAAATTCCAGCGTGGCTGAGCTTCTCTCTTCTGATCAACAGCCTGGCTTCCACCAAAGAGCACTGCTTGCCCTCCTGCTGCAGCTGGAGCCTTGAAAGGCAAGGAAAACATGACAACAGCACCCACCCAACAGCCACAATGGCTATGTTCTATCTCCACTGTCAGAGGCAAGATGTCTTTGAATTCTAGTTTCTGGGAATCACAGGTGGGCAGAGCGCTACTGCACTCGGGTCCTGCTTGCAAGCTTTCTGCAACCATCTGGATGGCCATTGTGAGAACAAGATGCTGCAGCAGATGGGCTATGGGCCTGATCCAGCAGGCTCTTCTTACATTCTTATCCCAGATATAAAACCAGGAGGCATTCTAAAGATTTTCCAGAGTTGCTTCTCAGTATCCTCTTAGGACCAAATTAGCTTATAACCTATGACTGCTGCCCAGAGCCCGTGTTGCCTCCTGGTACTTCTTGGCAACAATTCAGGCACAACATCATCACCCTCAGCATTTACTCTGCTTAGTCGGCAGCTGCTTAAGGGGTGGGTGGGAAACGCTGTGTCCAATGATGCTTTACAATGTAGGTGAAAGCAGCAGCCTTTCAGCTCTTGAAAGAATTCAGAGTCAGTCTTACAGTTGTTCTGCAGCGCTTCCACCTAACAACAGGACTGATTGGTATTTCTGAACCCTGCCATGATCTTCACTCACCTCTGCCCAGATACGTGAGCCTGTAGCCCTGTAGGGTACCCAGACCAGGGGCCCATGACAGCCTAAGGAAGGTGGGTCCTGCATCCAACACTTGGAAATTTGCCACTCCAGACACAGCCTCTGTAAGAGAAAGAAGATATGTCTGTGTGCCCTTCATGTGGGACTGAGGCACACAGTGGGTGCCAGATGAAACGAAGGCAGTTGCCTCAGTTACCAGCAGGTGTCGAGAGGAGAAAAACAATAGGAGTTTGCTAAGTTAAGAGTAAGAGTGAGCAACTGAGTAACACCAAAAGCCAACATGCAACTGTTGTCATAAACTAATTTAGGTGAGTCCTGCTCCCTGCATTTCAGATTGTCTCAATCTGTACTGCTATATCCACCACAACCTAGAGTTAAGAGCTGTGTGGGATGCACAAATGAGAATATGACATATTCTATCAGTAGCCTCCCTATTGCTACCATCAGTTACAAAATCCAAGATGGCAGCACTAATATATAATATACAGTGGGACCTTGGTTTAAGAACAGCTTAGCTTATGAATAACTTGGATTAAGAACGCTGCAAATGCAAAGGACCTTCAAGATAAGCTTTATTTGAAGACTGAGTTTCTCTGTGGGGCATACTTAGGAGAGGTGTCCCAGAGGGTACGAGGGTCCTAGGCCGTATAGGGGCTTTAAAGGTTAAACCAGCACCTTAAACCTGATCCTGTACTCCACCGAGCCAGTGCAGCTGGTATAGCACTGGGTGTATGTGATCTCGCAGCGAAGACCGTAAGGAGTCTCGCTTAGGCATTCTTTAAAATTCGCTGGAGTTTCTGGGTCAGTCTCAGGCAGCCCCACATAGAGCAGTTGTCAAACGAATCCATCTGGAGGACCGTCGCAAGTGGGATCATGGTGGCTAGGTCAGGCGAGAGAGGTAAGGAGCCAACTGCTTAGCTTGGCTGGAGATGGAAAATGCCGCCTTTGTTATAGCTGCAATCTGCACCTCCATGGAAAGGGAGGTGTCGAAGATTACACCCAAACTCTTAACGGACGGCGCTGGCACTAATTGCGCCCCCGCAAGAGATGGGAGTTGCCCCCCCAATCCCATATCGCCCCATCCCAGCCACAGGACCTCTGTCTTCGAAGGATTTAGCTTCAACCGGCTCCCACTTAACCATCCAGCCACAGCTTCCAAACATCTGGTCAGTGTGTCTGGGGCCGAGTCAGGATGGCCATCCATCAACAGATAGAGTTGGGTGTCATCGGCATACTGATGGCAACCCAGCCCAAAACTCCGAACAAGCTGGGCGAGGGGGCACATAAAGATGTTGAAAAGCATCGGGGAGAGTATTGCACCCTGAGGTACTCCACACACCAAGGAGTGGCGCGATGACAATTCCCCCCCAAGCGGCACCCTCTGTCCCCGACCAGAGAGAAATGAGCGCAGCCATTGAAGGACTGTGCCCTGGATCCCCACGTCGGCAAGGCGGTGGTCCAGAAGTTCGTGATCGACCATGTCGAAAGCTGCTGACAGATCTAGAAGAATCAGCAGCCCTGACCCACTTCGATCCAGCTGCCTGCGGAGATCATCTGTTAGGGCGACCAGAGCCGTCTCGGTCCCATGACCAGCGCGGAAGCCGGACTGGAATGGATCCAGAGCCGATGTTTCATCCAGAAACCCACCAAGCTGTTCAGCAACTGCTCTCTCAATCACCTTACCCAGGAACGGAAGATTCGAAACCGGGCGGTAATTGGATAGATCTAAAGGATCTAATGATGTTTTCTTTAAGAGCGGGCGCACCACTGCCTCCTTCAGTTCCCCTGGGAATGTGTGTGTGTGTGTGTGTGTGTGTGTGTGTGCATATATATATATATATACACACACACACACACACACATATACATGCATATATATATATACACATGTATATATAACACAATATTCAGTAATAGGCTCTGAACACAGACACAGTTAAGTCAATAAAAACAAATGATAGAATCACAAAACTGTAGAGCTGGAAGGGACCACAAGGGTCATCTAGCCCAACCCCCTGCAGTACAGGAATCTGTACTTTATAATCAGTCCTTCCTTCCCAAAGCGAGTCCTAACAGCAATAAAACTACTGTGCATAAAAACCATTTAAGACACCACTGGTAATGACACAGTTGGTACCTGCAGTGTAAATATAACACAACAGTGGCAACTTGATTTTAAAAGCAGCAGTTAAAAGAACAACTCATGAGCATCACAAAAGCAGTGAAAAACCAGATTCAACTAGTATTTAAGGAGGCCCAGGGAAATAAAAAGGTCTTTGCCAAAGGGACATGTAAGTAGGAGTTAGGTAAGCCTATCTGGGGAGAATATTCCAAGCAAGGGGTGCCACAGCCAAAAAGACACAGCCATCAGTTGCCAAGTACCTAACTTCAGAAGGTGCGGGCACCCATAGAAAGGTCTCCAATGATGAACTCAGCGTACATGCAAGGTGCATGTGAGCTCTAAAAAGGAGGGAAGCAGCAGGTGGATCTGGAGCCTGACACCAAAGACCTAAGGTTTCTGTATTAATGGTGATGCCAAGATCAAAAGTAATGTCAGCCTCAATAACTGTGGGTTGCATACACATATAGTCCAACTCAGAGTAGGCTCATTAAAATAAATGGACACTTAATGGGTTTCCTCTGAGTGAAATTTAGTTGGATACAACTCCTTACATTTTCCCTCCCTGAGCCTCCTCAAAAATAGGCTACAACTGCACAGACTAAGCACCATTCATTGAACCTCCTACTGCTGCAATTGTCCCAAATGCGGCCACCTCACACACTAACTCACATACCAACTACCATGTTCCCACACAGAAAGCAATCCTCACACAGGAAAATGCACAAAGCCCACATGCATACAAGGAAACCCAAACAAATCACGCTCTTGTGAAGAGTCACCACAAAGAGGCATACACAGAACGTCTCCAAGAAGTTGTGGAAATATGGGATTATCAGAGGCAGAAGTCGTTACTCACGAGTACGTCCTTTGCCAGACACGGATTCTCCAATGCTGTTGGCATACTGAGCAATAACAGTCACCAGGTAATCTGTGCCTCCCCTCAAACCACGTAGCACGGTACTCGTCTCACCAGGTCCCAAACTAACCTGTCCAACAGCAGGAATGAATGGAAAAAATAGCTTCAGATAGTATGACGAATGCATCAGTCCCTAGTCATGTGTGACAAAAACACTTGTATCCATTTTAACTGTGTGCACATGAAGGAGGAAGCCATGACTACCAGTGGCCTCCTATAACATAGTGAACTGTGTGGGGGACTTCTTACACTAAATTAGCACCTGGACAGTAAAGCCTGGGTGAAGCAGCCAAAGGGCCACAACAGAAGACAGGTAGAGGGAGAACCTTGAGTTTCAACTGGAGCAACGGTACTGAGGAAGGAGTGTCTAACCCAGCCTTTGCCAACCTGGTGCCCTCCAGGTCTTTCAGACCCAAACTCCCACCGGCTAGCCCCTAACAGGAGTTGGCCCCAAACATCTGGAAGGCACCAAGCCCAGGTTAACCCATTTCTCTTCACTGGTTTCCTTATCTCTATCCAATCACACAAACTCCCCAAAGTTGTGGGGGGGAAACACAGGCAAGATCCATGGACCTCTCTATTTTCTCTCTCTGTGGAGTTAACTGCAGCTTGTAAGGGAGGGCATATAAACTGGGTAAATAGTGCAAAAGCAAAATGTAAATGCACACACAGCTCTGGTCAAGTTTATTCCTGGGTGCTTAAAAAAGTAAAATTTCCACAAATTCTGAAGCCATTTCATTTCCGCCCCCCAGGGAAGATGGCAATATGTAGGGATGGTTGGACTAAAATATCTGCAACATTTACTTCCTTATCAACCCTAAGTTTAAACCTCCGGAGGGGGGGTAACAACATAAAATGCATCATTTATGTTTTAAGCTACAATCCAAGCCTTCCTTACACTGGGCTTGGGGAGGAGGGCTTGGACTGAGCAGAGATGTTGTTCGGCTCGCTTCTGCCAGCTGAGCTGGCCTCTTTCTAGTTGCTGCCGGTGGACTGACAGATACAAGTGTCACTCTGTCAGCGCAGATTTCCCCGCTTCTGCCTGCCAAACATGCAGCCAGGCGGAAAAACTTGCTGGCAGTATCCACAAAGCGCTAAAACAGGGTGTTCCAAGAGAAGGGCTGAGCTGGTCTGGGATCTGCTGGCTCCCAAGCTGCTCTCACAGGGTTGGAGTTGGTCCCATTCCCTGCATCCACTCCAGGCTTTCCCCGCCCCTTCCCCGCCATGAGTGGCCAGGCTGTGGATGTGGTGCTGGTTTCCACCACTCCACAGGGTCCCCATCAGTGGGGAGTTAGGATTAGCCTGCCTTTTGTGACTTACAGCTAGGTAAAGACACCTAGGACTGTGCTGAAATGGGAAGCCTCACCTCCTGCCTCTCAGCTGTTATTTGCTGCCCCAAGCCTGTGAGAGGCACATACTGGACTTTGTAGCCTATTACAGGACCACCAGCCGCCGTCCAGCGGATCCTCAGCATATCTGTTCCCTGCTCCAGGAAGACCAAATTCGAGGGGCCACCATATGTCTCTGTACCTTAAAGTGGAGGGGAGGAAACAGAGAGAATAAATCAAGATCCTTGCTGGCACATGCAGCTCACCACAGGCCCAGAAGGTAAGGTGAGCAAAGGCCAAGAATTTCAGAAAAGCAGTTCCTTTCTCCCCCCCCCCCAACCCACACAAACAAAAAAGCTGGAAGGATTTGTAGAATGATGAGCAACTTATGTTGACACCAGCAAGCACTGGAGGGTAAGAAGATTGAATGCTACCCACCCGCAGGGTGAGGTTAAACCAACACTGAGCTTAGGTCAGGGTTCCTGGTGGAGTATCACATTGATTAGATCAGGAGCTTCCTCCAGGATTTGCTGATGCATTTCCATGGAAACAGGGCAGGCTGGGAATTAACCCCTTGCAACCCTTGCCAGAGAGAGAGAGAGAGAATCAGGACCGAAGCAGCACTTCAAAGCTGAGCGGCACCTGTACCCCACCCCGAACCTTTTACCTGCTGGCTGTAAGATGCCCCCGGTGCTGGTGCACACCCTCCGCGACACCAGCGGCAAGAGAGTTGAGAGGATTTTAAAGTCAGTGACAAAGAAGAAATAATCCTCCGTGGGGGTGGAAGCCACTTTGGTCAGCTCGCTGCTGTCCGCGTTCTTGATGCCTGAGTGGGAAACAGAGGACTCTGGTAGCAATCGTCTTCAACCACCTTCAGACCTACATTTCTCCCTTCTTTGGGGTTTCCTAACCCTCTGTCTTTTCCATGCACTGGAGTGTTGGGATACATAATGGCCCTTGATTACAGGCTAAGGCAAGAACATAGGAAATCTGACCATCGGTCACTCTAGCTTAGTATTGTTTACAGTGAAGGGCAGATGATTATTGCCTACAATGAGCAGGCAGCTACTCTCTAGTCTCAGACAGAGGAGATTCTCATTCCTCAATTCCTTACATTCCAGGAGTTAAAACTTGGACCTTCTGCATCCAAAGTAGATGTTCTATCACCAAGCTACAGCCCTCCCCTTGCCACCATGTGAGCACTGCTGTAAGTGACAGGTACAGATAGTGCTTGCAACCCACACAAGGACTGTGCCAATTTCTCTCCTAATTGTAACGGACCCAAACAGGCTAGCATTGTACCCTCATGCAATGCTACAGCCAACACTGCAACACAAGATATTTCATGGCTTGTTGAAGAAGGGACAATTGCACGTGTTCAACATTCAAAATCATATGTGATTTATTAATTCACCACTGTTGAAATATAACATTTGGGGAGGCGTGTGTGTGTGTGTGTGTGCGCGCGTGCGTGCGTGTATTGTTCTTATTAGGGTTTTTTGAAAATGTTAAATGCATAATATGAGCCCTGATGGATCAGACCAATGGCCCATCTAATCCAGCATCCTGCTCTCACAAGAGCCAACCACGTCCACATGTTCACCCCAGGTATATGTGCCATCTGTGAGAGGGAAGATTTGCCAGGGATAACAAAACTAGGAGGCTGCTTGCTTGCAAAGTCCTTGTTCCCTACTTAGGCCTCCTCATGTGGCAAGTAGGAACTGGTATAGATATTAACCAGCATCACCCACCGAGCTCTGCTTTTTCATACAGAGAACCAGCAGCAGGATGAGGGAGCAGATGGTAGGAGCCAGAGATTACAGGAAGATACGACTGTATGGGGGATGGAGGAAGGGAGAAGTTCTCGCGAATGTTGACCTTCCTGGATCCCAATCTCTCACGGGACCTGAATGCAGTAGCCACTCACCCACAGCAAAGACTTTAATGCCTTGATCCTTCAGCTTTGCAGCTGCCCCCTCAACTTCATCCTGAGACTTTCCATCTGTGATGAGGATGCAGATCTGATGCAGAGAAGGGAAAGCTATAAGCCATGGAGGTACCCTCAACAAGGGGTTGTAGCAAAGTGCCTCTTTCTGAATTTACATTGGCGCAAACTTTTTGGATCCTTCACCTAAGCTGGGTAGCTCAGATGCAGAGGGAATGGTGAGGGGTTGCCGCATGCGACCTATTTTAAGGGAATGTGCATCATCACAGCCTGGGGGTAGGCCCCCCCCCTTCTGTCTCTCTCAACCTTCCCAAAGAGAGTGATAGCTAATTATTCAGCTTCATGACATGCATGCTCCAACACTGCCAGAACCCAAAAGAGAGGCCACCAGGAGGCTAAGAAGTCCCATCAGCATATTACCCTCCTGCTTTGGCCACTGACTTCCCACCCATCCAGCCACCCTTCTCTCTGATCTAGCAGAAGACACTCTCTCACGGTACCTTTGGAACATTAGGCCGGATCTGACTGGCTCCAAAGAAGTTATCTGCCACATGGCGAAAGCCTG